CAGCTTGGCGTCGGTCACTGAGAAAGTCTGTAAGCCATGGTATAAGACTTCTCCGAAGCCCGAGGTTAATAGCTTTGTTGATGATTATATTGTGGTCGACTAGGTCGAATGCTTTAGTGAAATCAATGAAGGTGACAGCTACAGACGTTTTTCGTTTCTCGAGATGGCGGTATATGTAATCGAGAAAGCTGACAAGACAGTGAGTGGTGGAGAGATTTTCATATTGCCAAATAGCTGAGGGTCTACGACTCCTGCAATATCAGCATAAGCCCAGTCGAACACAAAACTTTCACAGATTAGGCTGGGTATTGGGGTGATTGCAATAGGTCGTAGCTGATTTAAGGATTGTGGGCTGGTTGACTTGGGCACTGGTAATACATAAGAGGTCTTCCAGTCAGCTGGGCATCTGGCTTGACTGAGAGAAGCACTGATGATGGCGCATAGGGGTTTAGCAAGCTCCGGGGAGAATTCCTTGAAGAGTTTCATTGGTAAGTCAGTGGGAAGGGGGGCTGGTAGATAAGTAGGGAGAGTGGTTGTGTCAAGCCGGGGGGGCGTCTGGCATATAGTCGCGAAATGGTTATTTGATTGCTCAGCTGCGTCAACATTAGTGAGATGGCTAAGGAAGGGGAGGGGGTGTGTCTTATTGTTTAGTCCACAGAGTTCTTTAAGCTTACCATACCATTGACTGATGTTGGTCTGCTTCAGGTGTTGTAATTTGGTTGGGTAGTGGGACTTCTTTGCAGTGCGTATTTCGCGGATGACTCGGTTGCGAAGGGATCTGTAGCCAGCCGCCATACCTCACATCCACCCAGCCGCCATACCTCACACCCAGCCAGCCGCCATATCTTACACCCAACCAGCCGCCATACCTCACACCCAACTAACTGCCATACCTCACACCCAGCCAGCCGCCATACCTTACACCCAGCCAGCCGCCATATCTTACACCCAGCCAGCCGCCATACCTTACACTGCCATGCAGATGTTCAGAGTACCAGTTCTAACTACGGGAGAACACAAACACCTGTAGAGTTTTGTAGGTTCTATTTAACAGAGAAATATACAAGGGTAAACACAAGCACAGATAGTCCCGACACTCCTATATGGGTCAACTGACCCTCTCTGACATCTCAGGCGATATGTGGTAAGTGGTACTTTAGCAGCTTCAGATGTCGCCATTCATACTATCAGCCGTGTGGTGACATGAAACAGGGGCATTGCCACCGCTACTGACTAGAAACAAGTATGTATATAAGTAGAGTACATACATGGTGTGCATACAACATACATAATATACATACACAAACATTCTCCTATAAAGATCATTACCCATACTGAAGGTTCAAGTGTTCCCTGAAGAAGGCAGTGATGGGTAGGGAAACACCGGTAACACTGAAGTCCATTTATTAACGGATAGGGAGAAATACAAGTAGTGACTAGTTTGTACCTTGCACGACCCACAGAGTCAGACAAAAACTGCATTGCCATATGGCAGCCTCAGGGCAATGTTGCCACATAACCGCGTGCAGAGTTGCCGTAATTACACATATATAAATGCTACTTCGGCACTGTAGCTTATATACAAGGTTGCTCTACGGCGCAGTAAAGCTAGGTACATAACCTACATCTCCCTCCCTCTCACGCTCATAGTCTGTGTCTTGGCCGGACTTCTAATCCTAAGTCGCTCAGAGCATCGAGGTACTGCTGTGGGGCGGGTCCTCGTGGTGTGGGGACTCGTCCTGGAGTCCAGGGGCCAGCAGCAGGAGGTGGGACTGGCCGGAGGAAGCGGCTGTTCCTCAACCAGACGCGGCCGCTGCGGCATCTGACCTTGTAGTCCGCGACAGTCCGATGCCCATCACTATGCCCACCTTGTCCTAACGTGTCTTCGTCGGGTCCTGGACCGGACGGGGGCACCAATCCAGCTGCTGAAGAGGGCGGGCACGGTCGTCATACCGAAGCCTTGGCGTCCGGATGCGATGTAGCGGCCGTGGTCGCAGCTATCGGCTCTGGTCTACCACTCTACGCCAAAGGCCTTGGCGTGTGCAGGAACATAAGAAGCGAAGATGGTGACCATACAGGGGTCTGGTCGGGGAGCGTCCTGTGGGTAGGAGTATCACGTAACTCAAGTTCCTTTGTCAAACGCCTCACAGTCTATAATTGCCTGAAGGGGCCACGCGAGGATGAGGGTGCTTGACTGTCAGACCACAACCTCAGCATGGCCATTTGACTGTGGGTAGTGGGGTGTTGACACAATGGCGGACTCCCAACACTCCAGGAATCCTGTGGTCCCGGTTGGTAAACCGCCCACCATCCCCAGACACGCAGGGGACGCCCAGTCACGAAAGAGGTGCCGAAGTGGCGAATGGTGGCCCCAGACGCCGTGTCCGAGCCACAGGTTACCACCACAA